ACACTGAATTGCAGCTACATACTGAGAAATTCACCAACAGACTTGGAAAGACATGGGATGATGGGCTATTGACCGTGGTTGTTGTTGGTAGGTGGTGGTGAGTCGATTTCAACTCATAGAGGACCCGACGTACAACAGAAAGAAGCACTACTTGGTTCTGCACCGTCCTCACAATTGTTCTTATGTTTGACCCCATTGTTGCAGCCACTGTGTCAGTTCACGTCCTTGGCGATTGCTCCCTCTGTTTTGCTGACCTACTATACCAAGCACGCTGTCCTCTTCCAGGGACTGCAATCTCCTGATCACATCGCAAAGAACGTGAGACGGTCTTGCCCTCCTTTCTTCTGAAGAGCATTCTGGCTGTACTTTCTGCAAGACAGATTTGTTGGTTCATTTGGAAGCTCATCGCACTCTCACTATTCTTCGCCAGCACCAGAATTCAAATGCCTTGGCTCTTCTCCAGTCTTCCTGGTGGTGTAGTGGGTTACGTGTTGCTCTGCTGACTGCAAGCTTAGTAATATAAATCCAGCAGTCGCTCCACAGGAGGAAAATGAGGCTTTCTACTCCCATAAAGATGTGTAACCTTGGAAACCCAAACATTTCAGCCCAGACGCCCAAAGGGGCAGTTCTACTCTAGCCTATCAGTCAGGACAGGAAGGAATTGACTCATGGTATTAACTGTGGTGTGTTTCTGTGACTTATTTAGTGATTTGTGGATTGAAGAATTAGCCGTGATGTTATTATTCCATACTAGTCCGTAATAACTGAAATTTGAACCATATTGTTGGAAGACTTAGTTGTCTTCTTTAGTGCGTTGGGCTGGGTTGTCTAGGGAAACAAATTCAGTGACACTCATCTGTGTATAAGGAAGAGCTTTATATCCAGAAGTCATCTTACATCAAGTAGGCGCCCAGCCAGTTCGACTCAATCCATGAGTCTGATACAAGCCGGGACCCTCTTCCGACTCACATAACTGCAGGCCGATGACACAGAAAGGTGAAGCAGGAAGCAGGAAGATCACAGGCTGGTGGATGTAGACTCGTGTGGATCCAAGGTTGGTGGAAACAGGCAGGACACTGTCGTTAGATGTGCCACGGAGTGAATTCGGACTCATGGCGATTGTGTGCGCAATAGAACAAGAGAGTCCCCAGGCCTGCACCACCCTCGCAAGTGTCCCTGTGTCTGAGCCCATGACTGCAGCACCGTGTCAGTTCCCTTGTGAGGGCCTTGCTCTTGCTCCCTGGCCCTCTGCTTTCCCGTGTCCAAAGCAGGTGACACAAAGCCTCGCCATCCTGCCTCTACGGACATTCTGCTGCACTTCTACGTGCTCTTTTGCAGCCCATGGTGTTTCCAGTGTTCTTCACCAGCACCATGATTCAAATGCATTGATTCTTCTTCAGCCGTCCTTAGTCAACGTCCAGCTTTCATATGCAATCACATGCATATGCGTATGATTGAAAAGACTGTGACTTGGTCAGGCACACTTTAGTCCTCAGAGTAGCATCCTTGCTTTTCGATACTTGAAAGAGCTCTTATGCAACAGATTCGCCCAATGCAACGCATTGTTTGATCTCTTGTTGTTGCTTCCTGGAGAACTGATTGTGGATCCCAGCAAGAAAAAGTCCCTGACAACTTCACTCTTTGCTCCATTTCCCATGATGTTAACTCTAGGTTCTGTTGTGAGGATTATTGTTTTGGAAGTTCTCGCCACCATAAGAAGGCAAGAGAAGAGAAGATATTCCAAATCGGAAAGATATAAAATTGTTTTTATTAGTATCGATGATTATTTGAAGACATGATTGTAGAAAATCGCACAGCTACAGCTAGTTGGATTCAGCAAGGTTGCAGGATGCAAGAGCAACAGCAATCAATTGCATTCCTATATACTTATTATGAACATTTCTATACACTAATTTTAAACATATGGAAATGGAAATTAAAACAGAATACCACTTACAACTCAACAGAGAAGTGAACCCTTGCTACTGAATCTGTACCAATCCCATAGGACAGAGTAGAACTGCTCCTTAGTGTTTCCAAGACTATAAATCTGTAGGGGACAGGCAGCCTAATCTTTCTCCTCTGGAGCAGCTGGTGGGTTTGAACCACCAACCTTGTGATTAGCAGGCCAACAATTAACCTACTGCACCACCATAGCTTCTTAAAAGCGAATTACTTATGCATCACTATAATAAAACATTACAGTGTCTGTATGTTGCAGATCATTAAACACTAATGAAAGAAATCAACAAACCTCACATACTAGAGAGACCACATTCATGGGTTGGAAGGCACAACATAGTAGAGATGTCAGTTCACTCCTAATTGCTCTATAGTTTTAAAGCAAAATCCGTAAGTACCCAACAAGACTTTGTGTAGGCATAGATAACAAGTCTATTTGAAAGTTGTAGGAAAAGCTGAAGTCATCTTGACAAGAAGAATGAGATTGGAGTAGTCGCTCTACCTGGTATCAAAGTCTATTGTGTGGTTACAGTAATCAAGAGAATGTGATGTCAGCTGAGAAACAGGGCAGTAAAGCAAAATGGAGACCTAGAAATGGCCCCTAGCAAACAGGCCCAACTGATTTTTAATAAAAGTGCAAAGGAAATGGACGTAAATGGAGGGAAGATACTCTTTTCAACAAATGATACTGGGGCAATTGGAGACTTACTGGCAAATCAATGAGCCTCAACCTAAACCTTAGGTAAAAACCAACTCCAAATAGAGCTTGCACTTACATGTACAACATAAAACTTTAAACATAGGAGAAACTCTAGGATTTGGCAAAGAAGTCTCTGTTTTAATGTCAAAGCAGAATTCCCAGCAGGAAAAATTAGCAAAGAACTTCACCAAAATGTAAAGCATTCACTCTTTATGTCTCCATGAACAGGCTGAAAAGATAAGCTATCCGCTGCAGGGCACCTTTGCAAGACCTAACTGACAAAGAGCTTGTACCTGGATCATCCAGAGAAGTTTCCAAGTTCAATAGTGAAAATCTAAACCATCAAATTAGAGCCTGGGAAAGAAGCTAGTCCCCTGAGAGGAATTATGTATGGCAAATAAACACATAAAAAGCTGTTCAATATAATGAGCCATTAGGATAATGTGATTTAAATGCACAGTGAGATATCACTAATATACCTATCGGGATGGTATGGAGAAAATAGTCACAACACCAAATGCTGATGGGGGTGCAGAGATGTGAAATGTTCCTCTATTGCTGATGGAAATGTAAAATGATACAGCTATTCTGGAAAACCATTTGGCTGTTTCTTATAAAACTAAACATGCAACTACAATATGACTCAGCAATGGCACTCTTGGGCATTTATCCTAGAGACGTGAAAACTGATTTCCACACATAAAAATCTGTACACACATATTCATGATACTCTACAGCTGAAAACAAGCTTGCTGTCCTTTAATGGGTTAGACCAAAGAGAGTGGATGCCCCTCAGCAACAAAAATGACAACTGCATAGTACATGCAATAACTTGGATGAATCTCAAAGAATTATTCCAGGCGGAGGGTGGGGGAAGGAGTGGAAGCCAGTCCTCAAAGGCTGCATACTATAGGATTCCAATGAGAAGTCAAAGTACAGGAATGAAGACCAGTGTAGTGGTTTGCAGGAATAAAGAGGGGGAAATGTGTACAGCTATAGAAAAATAACAGGAGGGGTCCTTTTGGTGGTGGAAATGTTCTGTGTCTTGACTGTATCAGTGTTAATGCCCTGCTTGTGATTGAACTGTAATTTTGCAGGATATTACCATGGAGCGGGGAGCGGGTGGAGGTTTGGGTAAAGGACATACAACAGCTCTCTGAATTAATTCTTATAGATGCACAGGAACCTAAAACAATCTCCAGAAGTTTTACTTTGCAACGTGGCAAAGTCACTTTGGAAAATGGCTTTGCGGTTTCTAATGAGGTTAAGCGTTAGTCTGTCCTATGACCTAGCAATTTCACTCCAATGTAAATACCCGTGAGTAGTGAGTGCATTTGTCTCTGGAAAGATTCATATAAGAATGCTTGTAGTAGCTTCATCCATAAAAGCCCAAATATGGAAACAACTCAAATGTCTATCTGCAAGAGAATGAATAAATAAATTGTGGGAATATGATCAACATGGGAAGGGTTTGGGGGTTACTTTCTGGGCTGAAGGAAATATGGTTACATGGAGTGTGTGAAAAGTTATTGAGTTCAACACTTCAGGTTTGCATATTTTACTATATGTAATTATATTTTAATAGCATTTTAATTATATATATATATATTTAAATCCCCAGCTTACAGAAGGAAAACTGATATATTAACCAATCTCACTGGATTTGGATCCTCCTTCAAACAAACTTAGAAAAATCTGTTTAACATTTATGAGTAATTGTTTAGACACTTATGAGTAATTGATCTGAGCAGTGTAGGATCACTAATGATTTTAAAGAATCATTGGGAAGAAGATGCGATACAATTACTATTGGACTTTAAAAGGCCTTATCATTTAGAGGTATGTCATGAAGTGATGTAGCTAGAATTGGCTTCAAACTAAAACAGGGAAGAATGGGAGGAATCTAAGTGGAACAACATTGGTCATGAGTTGATTATTGCTTAGCCTGCATGATTCGATCATCTTTCGCCTTTAAACTTCATGATAAAATGTTAAAAATTTTAAATCTAAAATAAAAGACACACCCAGGCTGCTTTATTATTACCAAAACAACAAAGCGATTGACCACTGTGATAGTACCCTTCAGGGTTGTCCAATTGAAATCACTGCCAATTTCCATGGGGTGTCTCCAGCAAGGAGTGGGGGTTCCAGAGGAAGGAAACTACCCAGGACTTCAGGGGCCCCAGGGGTATGGACAATTTATGTGGCTCTTGTGCCAATCAAAATGTGGAGCTGATAAAGTTAGCCTACACCCACGCACATTGGATCGCCATAGTAATTAGACAGGGAGATTAAATTTGTTTTTCCAACTCTCACGCTCTCTCTTCTTTTCTCTCAGGACCTGATATTATTTTATGATGATGACCCAAAGCCACCTTTGCCAACAAGACCACCTTCCACGGCCTCTCCTGCTATGGGGACATCAGACGTGGAAGCAGAGGTCCGTAACCCCTGGGACGCAGGTAACTACGTGGCAGGGAGTTTACTTGGAAAGCGGAATGCAAAGAAACCCGGGCAGGGATTGCTTTGCATCAGCCCTCCTTTTGCGAACACGAGCAGCAGTGGCTCTTGTTTCACTGTGGTAATGAGGGCTGAGACGAGCCTGGGTAAATTCAACCCACACATGCTCCTTTGTCTTATTTTATTGTTTGTGCCCATGGCTTTTCTTTATTTTGCTCTATTTTCTTTTTTATGGTTTCCAAAAAAGTATTAACTAATATCTTTTACAAATGACAAAACACCAAAATTCTCATTGGAGTTCCTTATTTTCTTGTTTTGATTAGCTTTCTTTTGATGCAGCGTTTAAATTATGATTTTTTTTTAAATTCAAAAAGTAGGCTTGAGGGGGGGAAATGTGAAAACTCGAGATGCCTGGAGTCCTGCAAATGGGGCCATCATTTCTTGAGTAATTAACATCAGGGGAAAAAAAGCTCTTCTAAATTCTACAAAGCTGATGTCCGACAAATTATACTATCAAAACCCAAATCTGTATGGTGATTCAGGACCCTTTTAGAGCTGACTGAGGCACTGCCGATCTGCTCCACGTTAGCCCCCTTCTCCCCGAACCCTCCGTTTTCAGTCCGCTCTGCTTGTTTTTCTCACAGCGCAGGAAGCCTTGAAGGGAGTGGAACGTTCCCAGGAGTACCCTTCATCCTCTTACGTCTCGTTACTTCTATTTCCTTCCATGTGTCCTTGCCCTTCTCACACAGGTGTTCAAGTTCCACCTTCCCCTTTTCATAGGATGATGCCCCTCAAATAACCTGCTCTCCCTAACTCCCTCTTGTCTTTTGAGCCTCCTCTTTTTCAATGAAAATGTCCTATAAAAATCGACTCCATTCAAGTTGATCCTGCTTCATGGCAACCCTAACTCAAACACACACTGCCAGTGATTGCATAGGACAGAGTCGATCTGCACCGTAGGGTTTCCCTTAGGGAAGCCCCGAAGGTAGGTCTGGTTCCAGATTTGAAGCGTGTCTAAGGGAGCGTCAGGGCTTGCACCACTCCTCTCATACAGCAAGCAAATCTGCTCCTTTTCATGACTTTGAATTGGTGCCTACATTTTCCTCCCGTTCCGTGTGGGAGTTTCTAGCTGAGTTACCATCTAATTCTTCTGGTCTCAAGATAGTGGAGGTTGCGGTTCACATGGTCACCAGTCTAACAGGCACAAAATGAAGTCACTGGGGCTTCTGGTGATGTTTGTGTAACTCCCCCTCCCCATCAGAAACAAAACAAAAAAACACCAGTGCCATCAAGTTGATTCCAACTCACTGTTGTTAAGTGCTGTTGAGCTGGTGTAAACTCAAAGCTTCCTGTGCACAGTCGCACACAACAATGCCCAATCCTGTGCCGTCCCCATAATTGTCATGCTTGAGCCCGTTAGCGCGGCCACATGGTCAGTCCATCTTGTCAAAGGTCTGCCTCTTTTTCACTGCTCCCTTGCTTGACCAAGCTTGATGTCCTTTTCCCGGGACTGATCGCTCCTGATCACATGTCCAAAATACATGAGATGAGGTCTCGCCATCATTGCTTCTCAGGAACACTCTCGCTGTGCTTTTCCACCACTTACCCGCCGTTTGTCTTACTGTGACGTTGGAAGCGATGTCATTAGTGTGTCAGACACCAGCAGGGTCCCTCAGAGTGAATGGGTTTCAGCAAAGCTTCCAGACAAAGAACAGACTACCAAGAAGGAAGCGTCTGTCCATTTCTGAGGGATTGGCCGCTGGAAGCCTTATGAAGAGCCGCAGCATAGTCCAGCTCATAGTGACACACCATCTGGGGCTCCTGAGGCTACGGATCTTTACAGTAGCACACAGCCTCATCGTTCTCTGGGTTTGAACTGACCATCTCGTGGTTAGCAAGCCAGCACTTACCCCGTAGAACCTGGTATTATGGATACAAATAATGGTTACACATGCTTACCGCCCCCCATTTTAACAAATAAAACAGAACCATTTGCTTTGTCATCTTAGAATTCACTTTAAGCAAATGGATCCAAGCGGAGAAGTGTGAAAGAAGCACATTTTGGGCCCTAACATTCCCTAAACACTTGCATTTTAATATAGGGAAATCTCATATCAATAAGTATAAGGGCAGCCCTAGAGTGTCATAAAGCATATAGTCCATGGGGATGACCCCACCATTTCACTTGGCTGGAACCAACCTTCACCGGAAGGGCTTTTCCTATCTTTAAGTCTTTCTCATTCTCTTATATTTCCTTCGATACTGGTCTCAGAGTTTTCTTGATAAAATTCACACATTAGCATTTCACTTCTCAGTGTAACCTCTTTGAATGGTCCTTCACTGCCGATAGTAGAGAGTCAATCTCTGGATAGTGTTCTATAAGACCTTTAGAGTTTGGGCCCAGCCAACCCGGTGGGCCTCTCTCTGCAATACGCACCTACATTGCACTTCTTGTGCAGTTTCTTCGCTTCAGAACGTCTGTGTGCCTGCTCGTTTGGCTGTGCAGTTTACCTTCCAGCTCACCGACTTCAGCCACTTCGCCTCACAAATTCTCCGGAGTCGGAACTGGGGCAGGACACAGTGGGGATGGCTTGTCTGCTCCGTGATGTATGTCTGGGCCTCAGCTGGAGAACTCGGAGGCCTGGGGGCGGGAACCTTTTGCGGGTTCTTTCTTTCGCTTTTTTCGGTTGTTGTTGGTTTTCGGTTGGGGGGTCTCCGTTTCTCTCCACATGGGCCTCTTCATGTGATCTGGCCACACAGACGAGTTTGGGCTTCCTCACAGCATGGTGGCTGGTTTCCAAGAGTGAGCATCCTGTGAAAGGAAGGGCCAGGCAGAAGCTGCATAGCCTCCAAGTCAAGCTGTGATCCTTCCACCCATTCTATTCATCAAGGCAATGACAGAGTCCCGCCCAAGTTCAAGAGGCGGGAACATAGCCCCCCCCCTCACCCCCAGGAAAGAATGTCAATGCCATCTGAAGGAAGAACAAGTTGGGTTGGATGTATATTGGTGCAGATCCAGACATCTTTGGACAGTACAATCCTCCACCAACTTACTAACACTTGACAGAATCCTACTCAAACATCAAGGCCGCGTTGAAATGTCACTACTGCTAGCAAATCCTTCGACACGCTAAACTCATCTCTTATTTCACCATGTTACTGCGTGACTTTGTTCATATTCCTATTAGAAAATGTAGAGTTGTGTATCTTAATTACTCTTTATTTTAAATGATATAAACAACAAACTCGAATATATTCAGTATTTTTATACACAAAAGCAGTATTAATAAAGATAAAATTTCCCTTGACTCTCTCTTTCTCCAACACACTCCTCTTCCCAGAATTAACTGTCACTATCAATTCGGTGCCACTTTTGCCATAACTAGATGATTACATTGACATGCATACATGTACCTGTACCTTTACAACTAATAGTTTGGTTTGTTTTAGAGCGTTGTTCTGGGTGTTTCTGTGACTTTAAAAACCTTAACAATGGCACATGGAGAATCGTCAGTGTGTGTGAGGAAGTATAGGCTTAGCTTTTTTACCTCCTGCATTGCCTGGTTATTACAGTTTGTTCTCTTCCTGGTAGGCATTTTGGTGTCTTATAGTTTTCACGATTACGAACAATGCTTTGGTGAATACCCCTGTGTAGATAGGTGAATGTTTCTTTAGCAAAAAGGATCACTGGGAACGAAATTCCTGGGTGGTGATGTGTCATTGGTTCCCTAGTGCTGTTACAATGGACATGCCACAGAGGTGGCTTTTAACAAACACAGGTGTGTTTTCTCACAGGTTAGTAGGCTAGGTCTCCAAATTCAAGGCACCGCCTCCAGGGGAAGGCGCTCTCTCTGTTCCAATCCAAAGCTCAGTGCTATCAATACTGACTCGTAGTGATCTCCTGTGTGTTTCCAATAACTGTAACTACTTACAGATGTAGAAAGCCTCATCTTTCTCCCAAGAGACTGCTGGTGGTTTTGAAATGCCAACCATGGAGATTGCAGCCCAACACATAATCACTATACCACCTGGGATCCTCTTCTTGCTCTGTTGGCTCTGGGGAAAGTCTTTGCCTCTTTACAGAGTCTCGTTTTGTGGCTTGATGATCTCTGCTTCTTTTATACCTCAAAAAATTGATTGACTTAATACACCCGACACTGATATTGCCTTGTCTTCATTTTGTTATAGCAGTGCCCTAAGCAGACGGCATTAGCAAACAGAAGTTTACTTTCTTACGGTTTAGGAAGCTAGACATAAAAATGTAGGATGTCCGCAAGGCTTTCCTCTCTCCATTGACTCTGGAGGAAATTCTTTATCTCACTGAGCTTCTGCTCCTGGCCAGTCTTCAGGTGGTGCTGCATCTCTCACCTCCATTTCTGCCTCTTCCTGGCTTCTCTAATCTCTTTCATATCACAAACAAATCAGCTCAAGAAACCCCCGGCACTAATCCTGTCACTAACATAACAAAGACAACCTATTCCCAAATGGAATTATAGCCACAGACATGTAGTGGTTAGGACTGACAATACATAATTTAGGGAGACTATAAAGAAAGATGATAAGGGATATGGGGGTGACATCTGACTTCCTCCAGCTTCACGGGGACAGGGGGGCGGGGAATTAAACCCCACGTCAGCATCACCCAAGGTTAATTTCTAGGAGGCTAAGGTCAGACCTACCCTCACCCTCAACCATCCTTCCCAATTCTGACACCAGCAGTTTCTCCCACGAACACTCTATTCTTTCTTTCTTTTTTAAAAATCATTTTATTGGGGGCTCGTACAACTCTTATCACAATCCATACATCCATCCATTGTGTCAAGTACATTTGTTGCCATCATCATTCTCCAAACATTTGCTTTCTACTGGAGCCCTTGATATCCGCTCCTCATTTTTCCCCTCCCTCCCTCTCTGCTTCCCCCTCCCTCATGAACCCTTGATAATTTGTAAATTATTATTATTTTGTCATATCTTATGCTGTCTGATGTCTCCCTTCATCCAG